GCACCCTCTGGACCAATCACACGCCGTGAGCCTTCGCCCCGCCCATCAGCTCCGGCTACTCTTCCTAAAAACTGTTCTGCCGGGTGAATTCCACTGATCCTTCGCGAGCTCCCCGGCCCCGCGCTCTAAAGCTTCTGGCCCCGCCCCTGACGTACACTGACCAATCAGAAGCCCGTAGCCTTGCCTTCCCTCGCTCTGGCCGCGCCCCCTCATCTCATTGACCCTTTCCAACCTATCACTTCGGCTCGGCCCTCCGCCCCTCGGGCCCCCTCGCCTCTGACCTGGCCTCTGTGACAGGTTCCACACCATGTCCATCATGCTGGCCGTGGACATCCTGGGCTGCACGGGCTCCGCCGAGGAGCGGGCAGCGCTTCTGCACAAGACCATCCAGCTGGCAGCTGAACTTCGGGGGACAATGGGCAACATGTTCAGCTTCGCTGCGGTCATGGGCGCCCTGGATATGGCCCAGGTACGGAGGGGCGCATCTCGAGCTGGGTGGGCTTCAGGTAGTCGCTGTCTGGAGGAGCCCTGGGATGCGTTCCAATCCGGAAGAACCTGGTGACTTTCAGACAGTATTGGTAAAAGGGTCACCGCGAGAACGGAGTTCTCTAAGTTGGCAATCTGCTCCAGCACCAAGTCTTGTCCCTTTTTTGGGCCTCAGTCTGCCTCCCTGCAAAATGAGTGAGGAGCATTATATGAGTTTCAGGAATAAATATAAAATGGCTATCATTTGGCGAGCACTTAATATATGCCAGGTACTACACTAAGTACTTTACAAGCATTGATTCCTTGAGAGAACAACCTTGTGAAGCAAGTGCCTTTATTGTCACATTTACTCATGGAGAAATCAAGGCACAGCAGTACTTGCCTAAGGTCACACCGTCAGAGACTGGAAAAGTTGGGATTCGAAGCAGGTCTGTTTCCAAGCCTGAACCTCATCCACACGCTACACTTGCTCGCCTATGCCTAGTCAAAAGTAACAACAGGGGCCCAGGGGCCGTGGTTCAACTCCCAGCTCTGCCACCTAATTTTGGAATGATCTTGGGCAAGTCATTCCCCTCATTACGCCTTAGTTCCCTCCTCTGTAAAGTGAGCTGTTGCAAGGCCTCATGGGAGAACGTGAAGAGCCGCCAGCACCATCCCTGGCACATGAATGGTGACTGTGATAACAATTATCCTATATCCGGGTGTCCACTCAGCAGGGTAGCTTGTGGCCCATGCAGGCCCCTTCCCTAGCTGGACGCTCACAATCTGCTCTTCCCAGATTGCCCGGCTGGAGCAGACATGGGTCACGCTTCGGCAGCGATACACGGAGGGTGCCATCCTCTATGAGAAGAAGCTCAAGCCATTTCTGAAGAGCCTCAATGAGGGCAAAGGTACCTCCCCCACCTTGCTGTGTGACCTCAGGCAGGCTCCAACCCCTCTCTGGGCCAGCAAAGACCAGTGTGGACGAAGATGAGAGCTATGGAGCTATTCTTGCGCTCACTTTCTGCATTTGGCAACCGTGTGAGCCGTAGCCAAGAACAGGCTGCAGTGGTGTCAGCTGGAGGAATCCAAAAGTAGGGGGCTTGTCTTGGGAGTTGGGAGCCCTGGGGGCTCAGTCAGAGATCTCAGGCAGACCCTCCCCCGGTGCACCTGCTTGCCAAGGTTTCTAAGCGCCTGCCTCCCTCCCTGCAGAAGGCCCACCGCTGAGCAACACCACGTTCCCCCATGTGCTGCCACTCATCACTCTGCTGGAGTGTGACTCCGCCCCTGCTGAGGGCCCTGAGCCCTGGGGCAGCACAGAACACGGCGTAGAGGTGGTGCTGGCCCACCTGGAGGCTGCCCGCACAGTGGCGCACCATGGAGGCCTGTATCACACCAACGCTGAGGTCAAGCTGCAAGGTGAGTCACAGGTCACATCCAGGAGGTGCAACAGTCACCACCCTCCACCAGAGTTGCTCTCCCTTCTCCTCCAAAGGTCCCTTCACATTTCTCCATTCCTCTGTCCTGCCCCGCTCCCCAACTCCTTGTTCTTATGCCTGTTTGCCACTCACTTACCAGTTCAACTGTTAGTGGAAGGGCCCAGGGTGGTGGTGGAAGGGCGCAGATGATTCAGTGAGCACCAGAGCTATGTCTTTTTCTCTGAGCTTCTGTTTTCTCATCTGGGAAGTGGATGTCCTAATGGGATTGCTTTACCAGGCTGTTTGCAAAGCACTTTGGCCTGGGGCTGAGACACACCTGCCCTGCCTTAGGGGAGCTCCCAGGCCAAGTGGGGAGGGGGAACACCCTTGTGAAAGGACCGGAGAGGGAGTGGCTTCAGACAATCCATCTTTTACTGCTTTAGGCATTATTAAATCAGGAAAGTTCATTGTAGGCAAATTGGAGATTACAGTTGAGCAAAAAGAAAACACAAAAGCACCCACAATCACCCAGAGGCAAATGGTGGGAACATTCTGGTGTTTGTCTTTCCTGCCTTTTTCTTTTTCAGAAAGAACCAAAAAATTGTTTTTACTTACAAAAATTTACTTGCAAAATGCATACATTTCTAAAGAAAAATTTTGGAACTTACTGAAAAAAATACAAAAAAGAAAAGAAAAATCCTTTCAAACTGACATTACTATTTTATCATCCAGTAACTTAAATATTATATGGTGCAAACATGGTCATGTTCATGGACAAAGCTTGTTGGATTCTTAGTGGAGCTGGGAGAAGGGTCTGTAGGAGCGGGACCCTGAGAGATGTGTTGGGGATGGTAGTCCCCTGACCCCTGTGCCCTGTCTTGTAGGGTTCCAGGCCCGGCCAGAGCTTCTGGAGGTGTTCAGCACAGAGTTCCAGATGCGCCTCCTCTGGGGCAGCCAGGGCGCCAGCAGCAACCAGGCCCGGCGCTATGAGAAGTTTGACAAGGTTCTCACAGCCCTGTCCCACAAACTGGAGCCTGCTGTCCGCTCCAGTGAGCTGTGACCCCCGTGGACCTCTCCCCTGTGCAGCTGTGGGCAGCAACAGGGAGAGGGGCACAGACCTCTCCCCAGAGCACCCCAGAGACACTGTGATCAGCTCGAGAATGTTCTCGGCCCAAACCAGGATCTCCCTTGCACCTCCAGGGTCCTGCATGGACCCCGGGCTCCATCCCACCTACTATATGCCCACCAAGTCTCCCTTCAGGAAGCACCAAAACCCTGTTCCTCCTTCCAGCTTTTGCTTCTCCCCTTCCTGCTGAGGTGCCCCGTGTCCGAGCCATGGGAGGCTTCCTCACACCTCCTCTTTCTTTGGGCGTCTGCCCTCAACGGACACCAAGGCCTCCACCTGGTTGTAAATATGTCTGTTCTGTAAATAGATGTACAGAGGCCATGTTCTTTCTTTCATATAATAAACTTTTATGACTCTTTCTTCTGTCTCTCAGGGGCCCCAGGGGGTGGAACAAAGCGTCTCTTCTCTCAGGTGAAAGGTGGAAAAATTCAACAGTAAATACTTATTTAGCACCTGGTATGTTCCAGATTCTACTAGGAGCTGCCAATACGGAAACACAGTCCCAGTCCTGAAGGAGCTTGCAGACCAGTGGGGGAAAGAACCAGCCAATTCCAAGCAAGGGGAGAAATCCTGGCAGGGCCCCTACTCTCACCCCATGTCCTGCTTTGGGAAGCCTAGCAAAGTTTCCCACAAATGCACAACCAAGCATTCCAGATGTTTGGGGCGGAAGGGCTTGTTGAAATTTACGATTTCACCTCTACCCTGAAAAACAGAACTGGGGGGAGAAGGGGCCCTCCCAGCATCACAGCAACAGAATGAGGACGGCTGGCACCAGGGTGTCCTGATCTGGAGTTCTTTCCTTTTCTCAATAGAGGAAACTACTTATTTCTTTTCAGGCTCTGAAAGGGCCTTAGAAGAGGTGTGTGTGTGTGTGTGTGTGTGTGTGTGTGTGTGTGTGTGTGTGTGTAGGTGGGTAGGTCAGGGAATCTCTAAGAAAGGTCATGAAAGCAGTTGTCTGGATTCCATGGGTAGGAGAGGTGGGCAATGTGGATCAACACGATTCCCCTCCAGGCTGGATACCTGGGGAGCCTGTTTACTGAGTATGAGATGTCCTCTGAAGGAGAGAGGCTGGATAACAGTGCATTAGATCTTTGGCAGCATCCTGACTTGGGTTCAGTTCTATTATTTACTAGCTGGGTGGCCTTGGACAAGAGGCTTAACCCCTTGGATCCCAATTTCCTCCTCAATAAAATGAGGACAATAACAAAATCGGTTCCTTAGGATTGATGTTAAAGCACTAGGGAATAGTAGCTGCTAGGTAGGGGACTGCCGTATATCATACATAATGGATTGCCAATAATTATTTATTGATCACTTTCCGAGTCAAAACTCTTTATGTGCTGTACCTCATTGAAATATCATTTCTGGGATCCCTGGGTGGCGCAGCGGTTTGGCGCCTGCCTTTGGCCCGGGGCGCGATCCTGGAGACCCGGATCGAATCCCACGTCGGGCTCCCGGTGCATGGAGCCTGCTTCTCCCTCTGCCTGTGTCTCTGCCTCTCTCTCTCTCTCACTGTGTGCCTATCATAAATAAATAAAAATAAAATTAAAAAAAAAAGAAAGAAATATCATTTCTCTGTATGGCGGGTAAAGCCATCAGAAGACATCGAAGGCACCTAACACTAACCGCACATAGTAGGTGCTCACCAAAAGCTGTATTACTGAGCGCTCTTTCATCATATAAAAAAGAGAGCATGGAAAAGGCGCTTTGCAAGGTTTAAGGTGCCGCATAACTTTTTGCTGCAATTGTCATGTCACCTTTTGTGGTCATAATCCTTTATTATTCTTTTGGCGCTATTATAGTCGCCTAGTTACCGTGGCCAAGGAAACGCGGCCCGCCGTCCTGGATTAGGGCGGTTCGCGGACTCCCCCTAGAGGCTACCTTCCGGTCCTGCGGCGGGAGGACGGCTCGGGCCTTTCTGGGGGAAGCCGGGAATTGTAGGCTACGGAAGGCGGCTGTCGAGGAGAGATGCACGCCGGGAGTTGCGGTCCTAGGGAGGGGCGGTTGGCCCACGCCGGGCTCCCGCCTCATCCGCATGGCGGCTGCGAGTCTCGGCTGCAGGCCCTGGGGCTCGCTCCTCGGGTTGCTGGGGCTGGTGGCGGCCGCGGCCGCCGCCTGGGATCTGACTTCGCTGCATTGCCACTTCGGCGCCTTCTGCGAATGTGACTTCCAGCCCGACTTTCAGGGTGAGGGGCCGCAGGAGCCCGGAGCAGAGGGGCCGGCTGACCGGGGAGGCCTCGGCCTGTGGGGTTGCGCCCGGGCCACCCGGGGGGCAGAACCGAGGGGCGGGACCCGCAGGCTTCCGGGTGGCACGGGCCGGAAGTGGGCCCGGCTTGAAGGACCGAGAGCCTGGAGCAGCGGGCTGGGGGCGACGGTGTGGGGAAGCCTGTTTGGAGTCCAGGCAGAACCCTGTCAGGATGGAGAGGGCCTTGGGGGGAGGATTGGGCCTCCACAATGGACTGGCCGTCAGGGGAGATACCTGCCTTGGGCATGGGTAGGAGTCTTGGGCCGACCCTGTTGACAGCTCTCCACCACTTATAGCTGAGCGCAGTGCAGAGGGCCAGCTGGTGGGGGCGCTGCCAGGTCTGAGGGTGGCTGCTGCAGCCGGAGACCCCAAGGGCCCCACTCCCTATCCGAAGACAGTTTGTAAAAATGTCCCAGAACACAGGGATCCCTAGACCAGGTTTCAGACGTGACTCCTCCCCACCCCCTTCGGTGCCAGTGGTGGGTCTTCAGCTCTGATACTGCCCTTCTTGTGGCCCTAGGTCTGGAGTGTGACCTGGCCCAGCACCTGGCCGGCCAGCACTTGGCCAAGGCACTGGTAGTGAAGGCACTGAAGGCCTTCGTGCAGGACCCAGCACCCACCAAGCCACTGGTCCTCTCCCTGCACGGCTGGACAGGCACCGGCAAGTCCTACGTCAGCTCCCTGCTGGCTCACTACCTCTTCCGGGGTGGCCTCCACAGCCCCCACGTACACCACTTTTCCCCCGTCATCCACTTCCCTCACGCCAGCCACCTGGAGCGCTACAAGGTAGGCTGGTGGCATCCTGGACCACCGTTCACCTGCATGTTGGGGTGCCAGACCTTAGGGAGTGAATGAGTCCCAAGTCCAGAGAGGGAAAGTCACTTGCTCCAGGTCACACACCCAGTTGGAGCCTCAGGCCTCAGGACCCATCACGAACAGAGCTTGAGATGGACAAAGGACATGAGATTATATAGTTGCAGGTATTATGTATTGAGCATTTACCTTTGCCTGTCTGCATTACCTTCTTTCTGTAAAGTATGGTCCCAATTTGAGGCTCAGAGTAAGCATCCAGCAAATAGTAGCTCTCATTACTATCATCGTTGTTGATTGCAGGGTACTTTCCAGGCTGGTCTTTGTCAGCTGTCAACATTATTGAGAAGGTTCAGGAAGCATAAAGGAACCTTCCTCTGTTATGGAAAGTAGGAGATATCAGAGGAGGAGTCCTGAACAGGCAGATGTGAGGCCTGGGTTTGAGTCTGTTTGCTTGCTGACTTGCTGTGTGTGTGAACTTGAACGAGTCTCTGACCCCTCAGGGCCACAGTTTGGCCACCAGCCCCACGAAAGGGTTAGTTCTCTCTGGGAGACCAGACCTTCCTGGGAAAAGGGGTTCTTACCATGGGAAGAAGTCTGAATTAGAGGAGTATCTCCAGGTACCTTCAAACTCCTGCCTCTTCCCTGCAGAAGGAGCTTAAGAGCTGGGTCCAGGGGAACCTCACAGCCTGCAGCCGCTCCCTGTTCCTCTTTGACGAGATGGACAAGCTGGCCCCAGGCCTGATGGAAGTCCTGCGACCTTTCCTGGGCTCCTCCTGGGTTGTGTTCGGGACCAACTATCGCAAAGCTATCTTCATCTTCATCAGGTGGGCCCAGCTTTGCAGCAGCATGATGGGGGATATTTGTCCAAGGTCTCAGCTATCCAGTCTTGGCCTGTGGTCCCATACCAGAGTACCTTTCCCCTGGGGCCCAGTTGGTGTTTCCCAAAGCCCCTTAAACTCTGGCTGTGACACTGTATATTCAGATTTTGACAATCTCAAAGCTCACTCTGGGCTCAGTCTTTGGGATCCTCACTGTTTCTTTGTGGAAGCCCTGCCAGGCTAAGTGTTTTCCCTCCTTTGTGGCCAGGAGACATAGACCTGGGGAAAATAGGACTTGAATTCTAGTCCCACCTCTAAGAGTTCTAGCCATGTTTTCTTGGGCAAATCTCTTCACCTCTCTGAACTCCCATCTCCTCTTCCACACAGCAGGTTTATTAATACCCCACTGTCCTCCTAGAGGCTGGGGGAGGGAAAGTCAGTTAAGGGACCCAAAAGTGTTTTGTAAACTTTAAAGTGCATGGCACATCCAGATGAATCTCCAGGCATCACATGGTAGACAAAACCTCTGGAGAGGGGAAGTGGTTCCTATGGGGTGTTTTCAGTGGATTTGGCTCCTGCTGAACTGGGTCTCCAGGCTCATGTCACGTTGGGTGGCACATGGGAAGTAAGAGCCAAATCCTGCCCCGCCACCACGGTCTGAGCCACGGCCTGCGTCCCCCCATGGGTTTCAGCAACACTGGCGGTGAGCAGATCAACCAGGTGGCACTGGAGGCGTGGCGCAGCCGCCGGGATCGGGAGGAGATCCGCCTGCAGGAGCTGGAGCTGGTCATTTCCCAGGCTGTGCTGGACAACCCACACCGTGAGTTCAGCTGGGGAGGCCCACCCTGGGGTGACTTCGGCAGGCTGAGGCTTCACACCCACATTGCCTGGGCCGGGCCAGCTTCTCCCTGGGTCTGGTGCTCTACCCACTGTCATCGGGATTTCTCAGGCCAGGCTTTGGCACACCCAGCTGTCATACAAGCTCCTGGAACCCAATACAGACCCTTCCCCCTTTGCCCCTTTCTGCAGATGGCTTCTGGCACTCCGGCATCATGGAAGAGCACCTCCTGGACGTCCTGGTGCCCTTCCTGCCACTGCAGCGGCACCATGTGCGACACTGTGTGCTCAACGAGCTGGCCCAGCTGGGCCTGGAGCCGAGGGAAGAAGTCATCCAGGCTGTGCTGGACAGCACCACCTTCTTCCCCGAGAAAGAGCAGCTCTTTTCCTCCAACGGCTGCAAGACTGTGGCTTCCAGAATTGCCTTCTTTCTCTGACTCTCCATATGGTGTCCTTGCCCTCCTCTGCCTGGCCAGGCTGTGCAGGAAAGCCAGGGGCCTCCTTGGTAGGGACCCTTTTCCTGACCCTCTTGGGGAGCAAGACCCAGAGCCCAAAGCGAAGATGAGGAGGCATCTTGGCCTTTGCTTCCTTCCCTACGGAACCACTGGTGACCCCAGAACTTCAGTGAGCCTTGACCTTGCCCTCAGCCTAAGCCTTCTTAAGATGTGAATTGTAACTCAGGGACTATGGCTCATGGCTGCTCTCTCCCTCTTCTGTCTGTGACTCTCGGCCCCTTGCTCTGGCACCATCTTCTCAACCCTCCACACCCCATGTCCCTCCATACCCTGTGTCCCAGTACCGGAAAGTCAAGCCGAAACTTCTCAGTCTTTGTGAATATAGAGATTCAAGCTGCCGCTTAGGCCTGGTTTTTAAGGTTTTTAATTTTATAAGAGAACAAATACAATAAACTTAGCCATGGGACCAGAGGAATATTGGCTGAGATATCTAATTGCTCTGGAAGGAGGTTGTTTTGCTGAGTGCCAGTGAGTGTATGTAGGGCTTAGAATCTCTCCCACGCCCAGCTGAGTGGACTCTTCGGGGACCAGTGTAACTGCTGGGACAGCCTTGATTTTTCTGGGGTTCTGGCTCAGGCCCTATGTGGTCTGGGGTTTTCTGAGTTTGGAACTCAGTCCCCAGGTGACCTCAGTCTTGCTCGAACCCAGACTTGTGTTTTGGCTCCAGCTCTGGGCAGCCTTGGTCTTGCTAGGCCCCTGGGATTGGTCCTGAGTGTTCTCTGTATTGCTGGGGCTCCAACTTGGATCATAGAAATCTTTGGTCTTGCTGGAACTTCGGATCAATCCCCTGCTCCCGCCGTGGGTGGCAGCCTTACTGGGTCGCCAGCTCTGGCCATGGGAAGCCTTGATCTTTCTGAACCTCTGCCTTGAGCCTTGAGTAGCATTGGTCTTGTTAGGCTTTTGTCTTGGGCCTTGGGTGGTTTCAGTCTGGCTGGGATTTCGGCTCTGGCCCTGGGTGGCTTCAGTTTTGCTGGGCCTTTGGCTGTGGCCCTGGATAGCTTCGGTCTTGCCAGGCCTCTGGCTCTGGCCCTGGGCTACTTCGATCTTGCTGGGCCTCCTGCTCTGGCCCTGGGCCACTTGGGTCTTGCTGGGCCTCTGGCTCTGGCCCTGGGCAGCTTCAGTCGTGCTGGGCCTCCGGCTCTGGCCCTGGGCCGCTTCAATCTTGCTGGGCCTCCGGCTCTGGCCCTGGGCAGCTTCAGTCTTGCTGGGCCTTCGGCTCTGGCCCTGGGCAACTTCAGTCTTGCTGGGCCTCCGGCTCTGGCCCTGGGCAGCTTCAGTCTTGCTGGGCCTCCGGCTCTGGCCCTGGGCAGCTTCGGTCTTGCTGGGCCTCCAGTTCTGGCCCTGGGCAGTTTCAATCTTGTGGGCCCTCCAGTTCTGGACCTGGGTGGCCTTGGTTTTTCTGGAGCTGTGGCTCAAGCTTGGGTCGTCCCTGTTCTCCAACAGGTCTGAGGACTGAGTCTTCAGCAGTGAGGAATCAGAGGATGTCACAGCAGTGGCTGAGGTCATCTTGTATTCCTGGCAGATAGCGGACATCTCTGTGTCTGAGGTGGACATGGTCCTGACTGGGAAAGATGTGCCAAGAGCATCCGTTAGGCTGCCCTCCCTAGACAGCTCCAGGAAAAGGATGTGTAGGCCTTACCCTTGCCTCCCAGAGGCTTTGCATGGCCAAGGAGAAGGCCTGCCAGATGAGGCCAACCTAACCTTTCTCGGCAACCCAACCCCGACAGGTGGGCCAGGGTTGTAGGGTAAGTGGGAGATACTGAAGGCTCACCATGCCCCATTCAAAGTGAGAATTCTTATTCCTGCTTTATAATCACAGAGCTATAAAGTAGCAGAGCCCAAATGGACAAGCAGGCCAAGGAGTCTCTGATCTTTACCTACTCTGCTGCTTTGGCTTACTGGCCTGGAAGGAGCATTGGGGACTTACAGCCCAAGCTGGAGCCTGAAGAGGTCTGGTCAAGGTAGCTGTCAGACAGGGACCTCACCCTGCTGGGTGTGGGCTCCGGCTTCTCCTCCTAGGGCAGAAGACAGGTAGGGCAGTTATAGGATATAGGAGGCTCCAGGCCAGTGGCTCAGCTCTGGAAGGAAGATCAGCAGTTTAGAGCTGTTCCAGGGGCCCCAGTTAGGGCTGGGCTGCATGTGGAGAGGCCAAAGACTGGATAGAAAGGGCAGTGGTCAGACTAGACTGGCAGGGTACTCTGAGAAAGCCAGTATTGGAGAGGCTGCTTGGGCCTCGGTTTTGCCATCTGCAAAATGCAAATTAGTTTCAGTGTGGGAGAGGCCTCTGAAAAATGTAAAGTGCCCTACCATGGGGAATGGCTAATGAAGAACTGCAGAGCTCTTTATGCTTACCATGCCCATCAATTTCATCTTCCCACGTATCTGGGAGGGAAATACTACTTTTACCGTTTCATGGCCCAGAAACCAAGGCTCCAGGAGCCTAAGCAGTCTGCCCACGACACTCAGCTAAGAAGCAGAGGAGCAGAGCTTGAATCCAGGCCTGTGGACTCCACAGCCAGCCTCTTAGCTGCTGGATGCCTCTGGCCCACTCACACCTGCTGGCAGTGGGGAGCGTGGGGAAGCAGGGAGGGGGTGGGCAGAGTTCTAGCACCCAGCAGATGCCAGTTCCACATCTTCCTAAGGGAGGGAGCTCACAATGACTTCAGGAGGTGCACAGATCAAAGTTTTGTATGTTTGTGTTCCATTGTGAGCGAGAGAACTGTAGCACTAGCCTTTTCCGGTTATGGCAAAGGAGGCTGGTCTTCCATTGACTTCATTTTCAGTTTCCTTTGAACACAAATGTACTTGCTGTCCATCAGCGGCTGAGTGGATAGATCGTGGGACTTTCACAGGATGGACTTCTCCACAAAGGTGAGAATGAGCCATCAACTTAGATGCACCTCACAAACATGCTTAAGGAAGGGAGTCTGAGACAAGCAGGTACACCCTACATGTCCACTGATGTGAGGGACAGGGGACAGGCAGGTTCATTTGTGATGTTAGGAATCAGGACCACCATGGAGGTGCACTGGGCTAAGGAAAAGACCTAGCGGGGGGCATGAGGGGGCTTCTGGGGAGCTGGGAGTTTGTTCTTTCTATAGGTAATGGTGTCATGGGTGTATTCAGTTTGTGAAAATTCATCAGTTCACTCACTGATGACATGTGTACTTTTCTGTATTTACATGACATTCCATAAAAAGAATTAAGAAAATCCTGGCACAAATGGCCGGTGCACACAGAATTTATGAAGCTGAGTGTGGCAAGGTGTGGGGAGGCCTCTCTGTGAGGGGCCCACATCTCAGGGGTACCCTTTATTGGTACCATCCCCATCTCACGGCAAAAGGACCCCAGCCCCGTCACACGGCTGAGTGGTGGCAGAACCAGGCCTGGATGCCAGCCTCTGGCCAGTCTGCATCCCTCAGCCCTGGCTTGGGGTATACTCTACCCCAAATCCCAGTGTGTGGCCCACTCACCTCTTCCTCCTCTTGGGGGGCCTCAGCTTCTTGGTTTGGACCTTCTGGCTTTCCTTTCTGGGTCTGGGGAGTGGCCTGGAGCTCTTCAGAGGTCCCAAAGGCAGGTTTCCACCAGAACTGCAGTGCCCGAGCCTTCTGGCGCACTCGTTCCCGCTCCCTGAGCTGCCTGCCAAGCCATGGCCCCAGAGTGCTGAGTAAGCCCCCCTGACTCAGTGCACCATCCCCAGCATCTGGAGAATGGCTTGAGGAGGAAGCAGGGGCAGGAGGAACCTTGATGCCCAACCATTTCCCACTGGCCAGCAACCCCTGCTTGAGGAACTTGCCCCATGATGCCTTGAGGGATGCCAGCCTGCAGGCTGCTTTCCAACACCCGATCCAACTGCAGCCTGGCCAGGTGGGCCACCTGGCTGCAGAGCACTTCTTCCACCGACATGCCCGGGAAGAGGTTGGTCATCAGTGGGAGCAGCTGCCAGGGAAGAACCGGGTGTGGGCCAACACACGGAGCAGACGGGTGTGGGGCTCCCCTGACCTCGCAGAGCCCTTCTCAGGGCTCACAGGGGAAGGGTTTACAAATTATTGATTTAAGAGCGCCAGACCAGCTTGCCCCAGAACTGGGAGGAGCCTGTGTGGAGGTCTACTGGGAGAGGGGGCTCGGACATGGCCAACCCCCGGTGCTGGAGCCAGCAGGGCAGGTCTGACCTCTAAGCCTGTGCCAGGAAGAGGTGGGTGGGCCATGGGTACTGACTTCTCTGAGCCCTCCGCTCTTCACGTACAAAATGGCGGGGGGTGGGGGCCATGGGGAGGTGTGATAATGTTACCGGTCTCTGGTGTTGGAAGAGCAGTAAACAGAACACACGTTGAAGTGGCTAGAACAGTATCTGGCACCATGTAAGTGCCTGGCATCAGCAGCTGTTAGTTTTGCTAGGAAACCAGACTTCTTTTAGGAACAGGGAGAATCTTGAGGTGACCAAGGGTATTGACTCTGGAGCCTGTCCTCCTGGCCCAGCAGGAACCTACCTTGGGTTGCTTGGGGTTGAGAAGCAGGACGGTGGCAACATCCAGGCGGGCCCCCAAAATGTTCTGCAGGAGCTGCCGGCTCCTGGCGCGGTGCAGGTAGTACTGGGCTCTCTTGGGGTTGTGCTGGATAGCCATTGAGAAGTGGCTCTCTGCCTTATGGAACTGCCTGCAGGACACAGTGCCCCATGGGCTGTTGTGAGCTGGGCCCCAAGGAGGGAAATGGGAATCCTGGGCCCCACGGGGGAATGTAGGGGAGATTGGGATGGTCTCTGCTCCCCTTACCTCTACCATCCCCTCTGCTCTTTTCCTATCAGCTATACTCTTTTTATTTTATTTTATTTTTATTTATGATAGTCACAGAGAGAGAGAGAGAGAGAGGCAGAGACACAGGCAGAGGGAGAAGCAGGCTCCATGCACCGGAAACCTGACGTGGGATTCGATCCCGGGTCTCCAGGATTGCGCCCTGGGCCAAAGGCAGGCGCCAAACCGCTGCGCCACCCAGGGATCCTATCAGCTATACTCTTAACAGCCCCAACACTTAAATGCTAGTATAAGACCCCAGAATAAGTGAATTTTTTAAAAAAAAAAATTAAGGTTTATTTATTTATTCATGAGAGAGAGTGAGAGAGGCAGAGACATAGGCAGAGGGAGAAGCAGGCTGCCTGTAGGGAGCCCGATGCAGGACTGATTCAGGATCCCAGAGCCACCCAGGCGTCCCTAAGTGAATGTTTTCAACATCATGGAGTAAGGAGGACCTTTCTGAGAATGTCACAAACCCAGCAGCTAAAAATGAGAATTAATTTGACTATGATTGAATCCCAAGTTACTGAGTAGCAAAACTGCCACAAAGAAAACAATAAATAGGGACACCTGAGTGGCTCAGCCGTTGAGTGTCTGCCTTTAGCTCAGGGTGTGATCCTGAAATTCTGGGATCCAGTCCCACATCAGCCTTCCTATGAGGAGTCTGCTTCTCCCTCTTCCTCTGCCTGTGTCTCTGCCTTCTGTATTTCTCATGAATAAGTTCTTAAAAATAAATAAAAAGAAAAGCAATAAATAGGAGAAATAAAATTTCCTACAGAAGGCAGACAATAAGTTAATTTTCCTAGCCTACAAAGAACTCTTCTAACAACAATACAAGTTTTAACGGGCAATTTATTTTTTAAAAAATCTTAGTTATTTCAGTAGGCTCTACGCCCAATGTGGGGCTCGAATTCGCAACCTCGAGATCAAGAGCCATGTTCTCTACTGATCGTGCCAGTGGCATGCCCCTTCATGAGCAATTTAACAGCAAAATGGGCAAAAGGTTTGAGCCAGCCATTATGACCCCCCACACACGAAAAAGATGCTGGATTGCACTACCAATTTAAACATGGGACAAGAATCAATTGTGAGAGAGCATTTTTTGCCTACTAGATTAGCAGAGTTGAAATTAGTCTTAACGCCCTGCAGTATGGAGCTTTCAGGAAACCAAGATTCTCCTTTCCTAGGGCAAGTTTACAGTGGCTCACTGTTTGTGGAGAACAGTCAGATATTATGTTTAAAAGTGTTAAATGTTCAGGGCGGGGGCACTTGGGTATCTCAGTGGTTGAGTGCCTTAAGCTCAGGGCATGATCCTGGGGTCCAGGAATCGAGTCCTGCACTGGGCTCCCCGCAGGAAGCCTGCTTCTCCCTCTGCCTATGTTTGCCTCTCTCTGTGTGTCTCTCACACATAAATAAAATATAAAAAATCTTTAAATTTTTTTTTAATTTTTATTTATTTATGATAGTCACATAGAATGAGAGAGAGAGAGGCAGAGACACAGGCAGAGGGAGAAGCAGGCTCCATGCACCGGGAGCCCGACGTGGGACTCGATCCCGGGTCTCCAGGATCGCGCCCTGGGCCAAAGGCAGGCGCCAAACCGCTGCGCCACCCAGGGATCCCATAAAAAATCTTTAAAAAAATAAATGTTTGGAGTGACTGGGTGGTTCAGTTAGTTAGGTGTCTGCCTTCCAGTCAGGTCATGACCCCAGGGTCCTGCAATTGAGCCCTACATCGGGCTTCCTGCTTGGCCGAGAGCCTGCCTCAGCCTCTCCCTCTCCCTCTGTTATTCCCCCTGATTGTTCACTCTCTCTCTCTCTCTGTCAAATAAAATTTTAAAATGTTTTAAAAAATGTTAAATATTCACACCCTTTAACAATACTTTAGCTTCTAGCAATCTAATATGGCATTATTAGTGTAATGCGTGAAAATGTATGTCCTATGTGCTCATTACATTATTTATAATCAAAAAGAGAAAATAAGGCAGCCCCGGTGGCACAGCGGTTTAGCGCCGCCTGCAGCCCCGGGGTGTGATCCTGGAGACCCAGGATCGAGTCCCACATCGGGCTTCCTGCATGGAGCCTGCTTCTCCCTCTGCCTATGTCTCTGCCTCTCTCTTCACTCTCTCTGAATGAATAAATAAATAGATCTTTAAAAAAAAAAAACAGAAAACAGCCCAAATACTCATCAGTGGAGGGTTGTCTAAAGAAATGCATTGTGGTACTTCATAGAATGGAATACTAGGCAAATAATAAAAGAGAATGAGGTCATCATATATATAATGACATTGGAAATAAAAAAGCAAGTCAAAAAACAGCATGACGTCACTTTTGTAAAATGATAATAAGTGTTAATATATGTATAGGAAACCATCTGGAGGGATCCTTACCAAACCGATGGAGGGGTTGGTGATGGGAGACAGATATTAGAAGGAACATTCCGTGTTCTTAAGTTTATTATAAAAAGCACAATTGTCATAACAATATTCAGGAAAAAAGTGAAGAATTTTTCACAAATACTTGAAAACCAAAACCATTATTTAGGAGGCAGACCTGGGAGAGCAGAAGATGTTGACCCAGGGATCCCAGCAGCCCCATGCCAGGCCCAGCCCTGCCCGCAGCCCTGCCCCGGGGACCACCCTGAGCTTGTGCACCTGCTCCTCTGCTCGCAGAAACCCATCTTCTCCTGCAGTAGGCCCATGCGTAGGTTGGCCCCCTCGTCCTGCGGGCTCAGCGCCAGCGCCTGCTGGTAGTCTGCCTCTGCAAAGGTCAGGTTGCCCAGCTGGAAGAAGCAATCTGGGGGATGGGGACAGACGTGGAGGCTGAGTGGGCCCCCAACCCCAGTGCCCAGGAGCCCCAGCCTGGCTTGCTCCAGCTCCCAGAGGGATCTTGAGACTGGTGGCTGTGAACTTCTGAAATCCTGTGGGTGGTGGAGGGCGTCTACCAAGGTTTTCCGTGCCCTAGGGCCCTTTTCTCCAGCCACTGGATTCTGAGCATTTTGAAGAGGCTGTAGCCAGTCAGTCTAAGACAACACTTTGCAGTGTGTGTCCCCAGGGCCCTGAGGTTCTTCCCCTCCTCCTGCCTCCCCCCTCCCCTCCCTGTGGGGCCTCAAGTGCCCAGCCCAGGCCTTAGAGGGTCAGGGGCGGCCCCCACTCACCACCACGATTGATGTAGAGGCCCTTCTCCTGCTGCTCATCCTTGAGGGCTTTGTTGAGCAGCAGCACACCCTCCTGGTAGGCACCCTGCAGGTAGCAGTGCACTGCAAAGTCATTGTAGGCCAGCAGCAGCTGCCGCTGAGCCTGCTGCACCTCTCCCTCCTGGCTTGCACTCATCATGTCCAATGCCTTTAGGAAGTCCTCCACAGCGCTATCAAACTCCTGGAGCCTGCGGTAGATGGTGCCCCTGTGGGGGAGGGACATGAAGGCCAAGGCTACCCCATCCACCTGGGCAGCCAGCTGAGATGTTGCCTCCTCTGAGCCTTCCGAATTTGGCAGGTGACAAGAGGGTCCCCTCTTCATGCACTGGTTCGGCTGTGGAGCTGGCTCTGGATTACTACTCGGATAGCCCATTGGTCACTGGTAGTTTTGCTTTACACAAAAATACCTTACATCTTTCTTTTTAGGAAGTAGGTGTGCACCAACCTCTATGCTAAGGCCTTTCAGTACTGGGGACAGATGTTTTACCCCACTGTTTATACGAGAAAACCTAGACTCAGGCAAGTTATTATTATTATTTTTTTTAATCTTTTCCTTTTTTTCTTTTTAAGATTTTATTTATTTATTCGTAGACACACAGAGAGAGAGGCAGAGACACAGGCAGAGGGAGAAACAGGCTCCATGCAGGGAGCCCGATGTGGGACTCGATCCCAGGTCTTCCAGGATCACACCCCTTGCTGCAGGTGGTGCCAAACCGCTGCGCCACCGGGGCTGCCCGACTCAGGCAAGTTAAATGGCCCCAAATCCGGGCAGCCCCGGTGGCGCAGCGGTTTAGCACGGCCTGCAGCCCAGGGCGTGATCCTGGAGACCCTGGATTGAGACCCACATTGGGCTCCCTGCATGGAGCCTGTTTCTCCCTCTGTCTGTGTCTCTGCCTCTCTCTTTCTCTGTCTCTATGAATAAATAAATAAAATCTTTTTTTTAAAAAAAAGGCCCCAAATCCCATAATAGAAGGGCAATGGGTAGATTCAAGCCCGAGCCTCCCAGAGTGAATGCTCAGCAGGCCCAGGGATCCAGGATTCCCAGGTGAACTAAGTGGCTGCCTGGCCCTCCTCTAAGGGCAATAGCAGCTAAGACCTCTCCCTGGTTTTGACCTTAATGGGGAGTAGAGGAGGATTATTAGAGGCTACTTGGGGAAATTGAGGCCTGGGGCGGCTCACGGCCTCTCCTGAGACCATAGAGCAGGACCCAAGATGGGTACTTCCCCACACAGTACCGGAAGAGGAAAAGGCGAGGGTCCAGAGGGTTGTTCTCGATGGCACAGTTGATGCGCTGCAGAGCATGCTGTAGCTTGCCCTGCACAGCTAGGATCCCAGCATCCTGACGTGCCTGCTGGGCTTGGTCCACCATCATCTGGAGCAACACCTTGGCCTGCGAATGCTTGGGGTCCAACAGCAAGGCACTGTGCAGGTCTCGATAGCAGAGGCTGGGCTGCAGGGGCAGAGGCTAAGCAGAGGCTAAGCTGAGCTCTGCCCTGTGCCATGGTGGGAGCACCCCTCCAGGCCTTTAAGAGCCTCTCTCTGGGCAGGCCTGCACCATGTCACCCATCATCAATGTCCCTGCATTGCGGTGCCACCTTTTTTGCCTTGTGAAAGAAGCAAAGCAGGGGGCATTGTGGGAAAATCCCATCCCAGACCCCATCCCTGTTGGTCCCTCTCCAGATGTGACCTCAGGTGAGCCAGGCCAGCCTGGGCTGTTTCTGCTATAGAATGGTGTTGTAAAAAAAAAAAAAAAAAAAAAAAAAAGAATGGTGTTGCAGATGCCTCCTCCTTGGGGAAGGGTGTGGCCTCCTGACCAGGACTGTCATATCCTCCCTAACCTCCCATGCACATGCCCTCCCCCACTCCCCTAACCTTTAAGCCCAAGACAACTCTGACAACAGCAGAAAACATCCCCAGGCAAATACCTCCCACCGGGTGAGCAAGTCTGTCAGTCAGTCAACAAACAGTTTTAGCAAGCATCCTGTAGGTTAATGGGCTGGACAGTGGGCAGGGAGAATAGTGTGGACAGCAAGTGTGAGTGGAAGTTACAAAGGTGTGAGGGGGAAGATGGCAGAGGCTAGAACAGGGCTTTGGAGTAGGTGGGCTTGGGTTCAAGGGCAGCACCGCACCAGAACTGACTGTGTGACCTTGGGCAAGTCACTCAGGCCCTCTGGACCCATTTCTTCATCTGTGAAAAGAGGACAATGGGTTGTATCTCTTCAAATGATTACCTCCTAGTCTTAAAGACAAGCATGACTCAAGGGCTTAGAATGTACTTATGCATCACAGGGGCTGAGGTGGCAAGAGGGGCCAAACTCCCACAGCCAATGATTACCAATAATTACTAGTCTCCTGCCCTGGAAGGAAACTCTCTCACTGACTCACTTGTGAGGCCCAAAGCCCAGCCCCCAGCATAGGGAGGCTCAATTTCCAGCTTCCCCCAGGATGCGCCATTTGGGACCAAGGTGAACATGCCCACCCCTTGGTCCTCCTGAGTTTCCCATCTCCTAGGCGCCAGGCCAAGTTCTAGCACCATTGTTCTGGATTCTTCCCTTTTCCTCATGCCCTCCCCCATCAGTCTCTGCTCCTGACTTCCAAAAGAACTGTGGGACTTGCCCCTTTCTGGCCATCCAATGGCCATCCTCCCCTCCACCCTCCTCTCGGGCTGGATGGCAGCCAGGCTCCTGGCCTCCAGACTTGCCCCTCCAGGCCAGACTCCCACTGGTAGCCAGACGATCTTTCTAAAGCCTACTGTCCCAAGAAGTACCCTTTTGAGGCTCCTGCTGCCCCCAGGAAGGGGTCAGGGGCCTCCTCGGATCACAGAACCCTGCCTGATACCCTCTCATACCTGCAGTCCCTCCTCTCTTGTGACCCCAAGTCTCCCTTGTCCCCAAGCTGTTCCTTGTACTGTCTGGCTCCAAGCCCTGACAGTGAGGCAAATAAGGAGAGACAGGAAAGGAGGAGGGAGGACACCTTATCTAACGGATCCTTGGGCGCCCCCACACCGTGCTGCTTCCCACACTTGTGAAATCATTCTCTGTGTAATCATCTGCTCAAGGACGTCTCCCCTAGGCTCTGAGTTCCACGAGGGCAGGGCTGGCACAGGGTTCTCACTTTGTGGCTTCTGGGGGCCGACACAGGCCTGGCACAGAGCTACAACTGAGTGGTAGCAGAACCATGCAAGTGGTCAGCACAGGTCCCCACCACACAGCCTAGTGGCTTCCACTAATCTCAGGGTTGGCTGTGGGCACCCATACAGGGGGCGGGTCACCCATTCTACCTTCTGTAAGAAGTTGTAGAGCCTGGCCCGGAGGATGAAGACATCAGCATTGGTCATGCCAAGCATCACCTCCTTGGTGACAAGGGAGAGGCAGTCCTGATACCGTTCGAGAGCCAGGAGACAGGCCATGCTGAGGACAGAGGGCAGAGGCACTCTGTCTGTCGAGCGAGAGGGGCAGGAAGGGGCGGCAGAGAGAACCCGGGCGTGCAGCCGCCTCTCACCATCGGTAGCGGAAGCTGGCTTTCTCGGGCTGGAGCATGGAGGCCTGCGAGAAGACTTTCAGAGCGTCCGGGAAGGCACATTGCTCGAATAGGCACTGGCCCTGGGGGACATAGTGGGGTGGTTCCTTCTGATTTTGACTCTGGCCCAGCAGCACCCCCGCGCACCCACTGGGGCAGGAGGGGAGAGAGAAACAAAAGATGGAGACAGCTCTGTAGGTCTGGGAGAGACTAGGGGACAGAGACATAGAGATGGAGAGAGACAGAGACATGGGGAGACAGTGACAGTGTAGAGATGGAGATACAGAGCAAAGGAGAGACAGCAGAGACAGGATTATACAGCTGGCAAAAGACAGCGATACAGAAACAGAAACAGAGTAACAGAAAATCTTGGACTTTGTTGCTATCTTGTGGTTTAATATTTTTCTTTTGAATTGTAAAGGGAGGTGCTATGACCTTTCCAGCACTTAGAGCCTCCTGATGCTAGTGCCATGATAGCAGCCACCTGCTTCATGTGGCTATGCAAATTTAAGTTTCTTTTCTTTTTTTTTTTTTAAAGATTTTATTTATTTACTCATGAGAGAGGCAGAGACACAGGCAGAGGGAGAAGCAGGCTCCATGCAGGGAGCCCGATGTGGGACTCGAGCCTGAGACTCCAGGATCATGCCCTGGGCCAAAGGCAGGTGCTAAGCTGCTGAGCCATCCAGGGATCCCCATAAATTTAAGTTAATTAATGAAATAAAATTTTAAAATCAATTCCTTAGTCACACTTAATATATTTCAAGGGCTCAGCAGTTACCACATTGCTAATGGCTACCAGATTGGACAGTGCAGAGTAGACCACTATCATCACTGCGGAAAGTTCTACTGGGTAATGCTGCAAAACTTTACCAGCCCTGGCAGTAAGCCAACTCTGGAGGTGGGAGAGGTCATGAAAGGGGTGGCAGGTAGCCATTTGCAATACAGGGACAGATGGTCCCCAGAGAGACAAGAGCTGGTCCCAGGAGCAAGGAAATCCCCCACAGCTGGAGGGAGAGCCAAGAGGCTTGGGTGTGGGGTGGATGTGGTGGGTGGGTCCATGGCAGCCCCAGGCACCTGCAGGTAAAGGACCAGGGTAAGGCGCTCCAAGTACTTGGTGTTCTCAGGCTGGAAGGAGGAAGCCCTTCGTAGATTCTGGGCGGCCGAGGAGAAGTCACAGAGCTGGATGTAGGCCTCAGCTCGTAAAGCATAGAAGTCTACCTGAGGGAGAGCGGACACAGACTGCTGTCTTCTCCCTACAGTCTGCTGGGGCCTGATGCTCAATTACCAGAAGGGACTTGATGGCCCTGAGAGGAGGAGCCTGGCAGGCATGACAGTGAGGGCAAAGTGTTAGCAACCGTCCATGCCCACCCTCTTACCAGCTGGGAGTCCAGGTGGAGGGCACGGGAAAAGAACAGCACGGCCATCTCCCAGTCCTCTTGCTCCAAGCACTGCTGGCCTTGGTGGTAGCTGTGGGGGCAGGCGGGGCACAGGCAGAGGGGCTGACCCTGACTTTGACCAACCCAGGGCATACAGCTGTGGCCATGGGAGTGGGTTGGGAGGAGGAGGGGCTTTGGTGGAGAGACAGGGTAGGGCAGGTAGACAGAGACCCAGGGAGAGGAGCCTGACACTCGGAGCTCATCCAGGGCCACAGCCTTTCATCTGCTGAGGTAGAAGTGCCCTATTATACAGAGGAGTTCACTGAAGCCCTGAGAGGGAGATTAATTGACCCAAGGCATGTCACTGGCTGTGCAGGATGGGAACCTGGGACCCTGGACAAGGCAGTCACTCACTACTCCCTGACTTTGAGGGGCACTGTTAATCCCGTGATCTTTGGTTTCACATCATCAAAGTTCTGGAACACCTGGCTGCTCCCAAAGATGCGCTCTATGTTCTCCTTTGGAACTGGAAACACCCATGGCTTTGGGATGTGCTGTGATGGAGACGGGTCAAGCTCCAGACCATCCTAGAACCAAGGGACAGCAAGCTGGGGCAGGCCTCAGAGATGACCCCTGTGCCTCTTACACACTCTCCCATCCTGTTTTACAGAATGATCAAAAGCTAGAAATGAGGCTGGTAGGAGGCACAATTTGGGTTCTGGTGGCACTTCCAGTCCCATTCTCTTTAGGGATGTTCCAACTTCTGTCTCCAGTCCTATGATCAAGGTCAGGGGCCTGGGTTCTTAAACTCACACTGCACTCTGCTCTCCTCCTGGTCCCCCTCAGCTTCACCTCCATTTCCCACCACCCAAAACTAATGCCTCCAGCTCAGGCGCTGCCCCAAGCCGAGGCCCAGGAGGTCCTGCAGTCCTCTGCATATCCTGTGGGACTCTCATGCCCAGCAGGCCAAATAAAACACCTCACCTGACTTCTGCCCCAGGCTTTCCCACCTTTGGTGAGTCCACCTTTTCAGCCAGCCACCAATCCCTATCAGTCCTCATGTCCTGTCTATCCCACTTCCTAAAGATCTCTTAAGATCTCTTAGATCCGGGGGCGCCTGGGTGGCTCAGTGGTTGAGCGTCTCCCTTTGGCTCAGGGCGTGATCCAGGAGTCCCGGGATCGAGTCCCCACATTGGGCTCCCTGCATGGAGCCTGCTTCTCCCTCTGCCTGTGTCTCTGCCTCTCTCTCTCTTATGAATAAATAAATAAAATCTTTAAAAACAATAAAAGAAAAAAAAAAGAATATCTGTAAAAGTCGTAATGATGTGGGAAACATTTCATGATGACACCATTAAGTATAAAATTGATATAAAAAAACCTGAATATACATTAAAAAAAAAAAAAAGATCTCGTAGATCCCGCCTCTTCTCTCATCGTCGAGTCTGGGCCAGTGCCACCTCTCCGACCTCCCCAACCGCTCACACGTCTCAAGCCCTCAGTTCTCTCTGCGCTGCGCCCAGGTACTTTTCCTGAACTGCACAACTTATCCTGCCTCTCCTGGACTTAGAACCAGGAGAAGCCAGCCTGCGAACCCAGCCTCGGTCTCTTCTCCCAGGACCCTCTGGCGCACCTCTCCGGAGTTTGCCATGAATTCCCCTTCCGGGAGGATCTCCCGGGGCCCACTCCCGGCGTTGCTAGGCACCATCTCCAGGACGCTCACAGGCTCCGCCCCTCAGGCCACGCCTCCGGGGCCCGAGGGTTGTTAGCGCCGGAAGGAGGTTAGCAAACTTTATCAGCCGGGGAGGCTGTGGCTACGTCAGGGAGAGGGCTTGCCAGACTTGCGCAGCGAGGCAGGGCCACAGCAGGGCCAGAACAAGGCTCCCTCCTCCCATTCCGGAGGTCACACAAAGGCTCCGCGAGTTCACAACAAACCCCACAGGGACGTCGTGAGGCGGGACCGCGGGAGCGGTGGCGCCGCACACGGGCCCGCCCCGCCCCGCCCCTTCCGCTCCCTAGCAGCATGGCGGCCCGTCGCTCGCCCGGGATTGGGCGCTGGGGCTAGGAGGCCACCGCGATTGGTCGAGGGCTGACAACGTCAGGGGGCGGGGCCCACGCCTGACTGGGGCAGCATGCCGCCGCCCGGCCCCCTGCGAGCGGCCCTGTGGAGGAGTAGCGCCATGAACTGGAGCCTTTTGGAACCGCGGCCCCCGGGGAAGCGGTGGCTGGTGAGTTGAGTGGGGGGCGACGGCGTAGGGGCTCCGGGGCCCTAGCAAGTTCCTGTTCTGCCAGTGTCTCCAAACAACATGCCCTACATTCCTTGTGTCCGTTTCCTTACCTAGAAAATGGGCCCAGTATTCTGACTGCTCCAAACTTGAAGGAACTCTCCTCTGACCGTCCAGCTCGCGGGCCCCTCGGCCTTCAGGAGTCCCTGGGGTTTCTGGGCTCCCTACTCCGCCCCCCTGCCCCACTCTACCCTGCCCTCCATTTCCCTCTCGCTGGTTTGGGTCCCGGGGAGCCCTGTGAGGTAGAGGGTGGCGAGAAATGTCGTGCCTCAGTTTCCCTGTTGCCGCCGCAGGTGGCCGGCCTGGGAAATCCTGGACTGCCCAGCACGCGGCACAGCGTGGGCTTGGCGGTGCTGGGGCAGCTGGCACGGCGGCTGGGGGTGGCAGACGGCTGGGCACGGGACCGGCGCTGCGCCGCCGACCTCGCCCTGGCCGCGCTCGATGATGCCCAGCTGGTCCTGCTTCGGCCCCGGCGGCTCATGAACGCCAACGGGCGCAGCGTGGCCCGGGCGGGTGAGTTGAGGGCACCCGCGGAGGCCGGCCGGGAAGGCGGGAAGGCGCAGGGGCTGGAGAAAGGGTTTGGGGCGGGAGCAGGGCTGTTCACCTCTAGGTGCCTGTTGCGCTCCAATTGCTGCATATGGCCCTCCGTACTTACAGGAGTCTCGGTTTATATGTGAAATGGGTTTAATTGTGGCCCCTCCTCATGAGAGCTGTAAATAAGGACACCCCCCCCCACACACACACACACACACACACGCGGGGTTGACCCCTCCCCTGCCCCCCCCCACCTCCCCACCCTCGGGCTGATGGGCAGTAACCAGGGCCACTGTTGTCTGTGCCCAGCGGAGCTGTTTGGGCTGACTGCTGAGGAGGTCTACCTGGTGCACGATGAGCTGGACAAGCCCCTGGGGAAACTGGCCCTGAAGCTGGGAGGAAGCTCCAGGTGAGGTCCTGAGCAGGCCAGGGTGGGCTAGGGAGGAGCCTCCCAGTTGAGGTGGGATAGGGGTGCCCATCCCAGTCTTGGCAGGGAATATGGGTGCTCTAACTCCAGCCTGCACTAGGAGGGGTGAAGAGTGCTCATCCAGGGAAGCACTAACTGCCCCTTCCATATCCTTTTGAAGGGGCCACAACGGAGTCCGTTCCTGCATTAGCTGTCTCAATTCCAGTGTGAGTCTGCCCCTCTGTCCTGCATGGGGTCTGGTGGGCCCGCATGAGGCTCCCCTGACACTCCTTAACAAAGCTCCCTGGGCCCCTCTGACTCCCCCACAGGCAATGCCGAGGCTGCGGGTGGGCATCGGGCGCCCGACAGAGCCTGATACAGTGAAGGCCTACGTGCTAGGCTGTTTCTCCGCCGCTGAGCAGGAACTGCTGCCTCCATTGCTGGAGCGAGCTACTGACCTGCTCCTGGACCACATCCGTGAGCGAAGCCAGGGCTTGTCGTCAGGCTTTAACATCCATGAACACATGCCTGCCTGACCACCACGCCCACACACCCAGCCCCGTTTACAGAGGTGCCATGCCAACCTGTGGTATCCACTTTTTATAGAACTCTTCTCTGGGCTGCCTCAGGCTGCCTATAGATTGAAGAGGGGACTGTGGCTGCAATGATCCACTTCTGGGGTGGGGATTAGTCTTCTCTCTGTGTCTTACTTGGAAAGTGGAGAAACTTCAGGAAGAGTAAACTTTTTGAGCCTTTTTGGAGAACCAGAGGTGTGGATCTGTAAGATTAAAGATGCGCGGCTTGGAAGCTGAGGCCTCCTTGGGGGGGTTCCCACCCTTCCACTGCCAGTGGATGAGGGGCCAACAGGGTCCAGCAAGCCCCCTTCCCAGGCCATGTGTGGGCATGTGTTAGCCCACTGAGGCCTTGCCACACTTTTCTTTGGCTCATTTTACAGATGGGGAAATGCAGGCTCAGAGGGCCAGACACACCCCCCAGGCCATACAGCTGCACCGTGGGCTGGCTGCTCTCTTGCCATCCCTGGGGCCCTTGGCACTCACCTCAGGCCTGCTGTGCACCTGGAAGATTCCCACACGTGTGGTGTGTGAGAGCAGCCTGAGGTCCTCAGGGTTGGGTGGGATGTGGGCCCGTCGAGGCACCAGGCCCAGGTCTCCCGGCTGGTAGGGTGTGATACTGGACAGCTGCTGGGACAGAGACCCCACCTTGGGTGGCTGGGTGCTGGGCTGGCTGTGGAGAGGGGGCTGGCATCACCACTTCCTTTCATAGTTGAGGAGGTTGAAGTTCAGAGAGGCTTTGGGGAACTGGGTTTCTGGTGGCCCAGAGTCAGCCAAAAAGAGCCCTTGGACAAGCCCCACATCTGCCTCCTCTGAGGTCATACAGGGTCACTCACTCACCTCTCCTTGGGTGGGCCATGACGCAGCTGGCTCTCTTGACGGGAACACACAGCCAGCTGGGGGTTTAGGACCATGGCTGAGCTGAGCATGGCCAGCAGCTGCTGTAGCATCTCCTTGCGTTGTAGCTGGAACATTACATCAAAGTCGCCGTCCTCCTCATCCGGTTGCCTCTGCTGGTGGGGGTGGGCCCATGGGGATCAGGCCCACAGTGGCCCCAACACCCACCTCTGGGACATTCCAACCCCAGTGCCTGTTTTCTCCAAGCATACACTCCTGACTGTGGTGGGACACTCATTCTCCAAATGGGAAGACTGAAGCACAGGTCTTCCAGGACCTCAGAGAGGGACTCTGGCAACTTTGAGACCTTCAGTGGCTCTTTGAAGTGCAGGTTCAGGAAAGGACAGACTTGGCAGGAGTGTCTCAGGGGAAAGGTGGGACCTCTGGCTGTGGCCTGGCCACCCCCAATGCCGGTTATCTCCAAGCAGTGTCTGACATTGGCCTGCCCCCCCGCCCCCGACTTGTACCAACTTCCTGTCACCTGTAGAATGTCCTGTAGGAAGAAGGTGGCCTGGGCCAGGGCTGTCTCCAGACTTGCTTGAACCTTCTGCTCTTTAGTCAGCTCCTGCTGTAGCTGTTGTGCCTCAGCCTGCTGCTTCTCCAGTTGCAGGTTCAGCTGGTCTCTCTGACTCCTGGACTCAGGACCAGGATGAGTCAGTCCCCTCCCCTGCTAGGTGGTTTCCCTTTGGCCCACCCAGCCCCAGTCCTTAGCCTATTTGAGAAAGCCTCAAGGCCCCTCGAGAAAGGGAAGTCAGTGGCCTGTGCCATGGGACCCAAAAGGAATAGGCTCAAGCTCCCCCACCCCCTGCCCCCAATTGTTCCTACTGCTTACCCCTCTGGGGCCACACCTCAGTGCCTGATTGTCCTGCTGCAGCTGCCCAAGGCTCTGCTCCAGTTGGCTCAGCTGGAGGCGCAGCTGCTCAGCCTCCGCCGTGCCCTGCTCCTGCTCACGGCACTTCTCCGTCAGCATGAGAATGATCTGCGGGTGCGTGCGGGCAGGTGCGGCCATGCCCTGGGCCCGCTGCAGGCCCTCCATCAGCCTCCCCCTGCCCCCCAGTTCTGGAGTCAGCCAGAGCTCACCCCATCGAACAGAGAAGCCTGCCAAGGTCCTGGGGGACCAGTACCGTCTCTGGTAAGAGCCCCCAGATGGCCCAGGGTAGGTTCCACTTCAATGAGTTATGGGGGCTTTAAACCAAATAAAAACCAGAGATGTACCCAGGAGCCCCCACGAAGGACCCCGTCACCTCACTTGCTGCCCCCCTCATGACCTGGCTCCAGCCTAGGGTCCCACCCTGCCAGGCTGTGTTTGCCTTGTAGCAGTTCCCCCTAGGGTTCCCTCCTGCTTTATGTGCCAAATGCCTTGTGGTGCAGGCCTGGCGGGCACACCTTATGATGGCCTCTGCTATGCCTGGCCATGACCTTCTGGGTGTTCTCCAACAGATCCAGCTGTTTGCACAGCTTGTCCTGGATGCCCTTGAGCTGCTCATTTTCCTGCAGGAGCTGCATGCCGTGCTTGGATATCTTGGACAGCTGCAGGGTGATCGTGTTGTTCTCTACGATGGCCCGCTTTGTCGTGTCCCACATCTGGCTAGTGGCCACCTTGCGGAACTCAGTGGCCACCAGGTTCACATGCTGGATGATCTCCTTCCTCAGTCTAGTCAGTATGGGTGGGAAGGAGGGAGCATCAGAGTGGGCACAGGCACCAACCTTCCACGTGAGGTTCCCCCAGAGTGCTTAGGGCCACCACTGTGCTCTTTCCCAGGAGGAGCCTTTTCACTGTAGACCCTCCGTATCTCTGGCATTTTGAACCATATCAATGTAGTCCTACCTATTAAGTAAATATAATTTAAGTCACAAAAAGTGGCAAAAGGAAGTCCAAGGATTCTCTAATGGCGGTGTGAGGACTAGGGCTGGGAGCTTATCTATTTCCTCCTTCCCTTCATAAATCACTAGCCAGGATTTTGACAAGCAGCAGGCTAGGTAGTCCCTGAGTGCAGTACCCCCAGTTAGAAGCTGAAGCTGTTGGGAGGCCTGAGGGCTGAGCTGGGCTTGGTCCCAGCACCCAGCCTGCCCACCTGTCCTTGTCCAGCATTGACTTCTTCTCTAGGTTGTACACATAATCCTTGTATTCACTCTCCTGCTTCCGTAGCTGGTCCTCCAGTGACTCGAACTTCTCTGTGAGCTCCTCTTTCTGCAGCCGGAACTCTTCCAGAGCTGCCAGCTTCCCCCCTGCCCCACCACAGGGCACAGGCCTGGTGAGGGGCCACCTCGGGAGGGCAGGGCCCGGGCAGGGCAGCGACAGCCTTGAGCGATGCCCCTCCCTCCCCACCTCCTCCACGTCTTTTTGCCCTCCCTATGCTTCCCAATTCAATGGGGCCAGACCCCTCCCTACAACATTCCATGCCCAGTCCCGCCCATGTGCACGGTTTTCATCTGGAGTGCCCCCCTCCCTTCCCTCCCATTGATCTTATGAAGCCTCATTCGGGTTCCGCCTCGGAAAAGCCTCCATTGGCTTCTATTTTCTGGGAAGTGACAGTGACAACAGCCACTGAACTTGCACACCTTCTCTGGGCCAGGCACTAATGCTGTCCTTAATCCTCAAAACGCTTGCCAGCCAGGTGACCTTGGGCAAGACACTTCAACTTCTTGAGGTGCTTCCTCACCTACAAACTGGGTGATAATATTTCCTGCCTTGGGCGATGGCTGGGACCCTTAGAGAAGATAATGTGTGGAAAGAAGCAGCATATAGCTGCTGTTACTCAAGGTAGACATATACCCATTTCCCAAATGAGAAAACTGAAGGTCAAGGAGAAGTGCTTGCCCCAGGCCACAAAGTCAATGGTAGAGCTGGGATTAGAACCCCAAGAGCAAGAATATTGGGTTCCCTCCCCCATGGTGTGTGCCCCCCAGATTCGCCTGCCAGTCTCCCCCCTCACCAAGGATGATGTTCTCTGTGGTGAGCTGGTCCTTGGTCTCCTGGAATTCATGGCGCACCTGAGCTAGCTGTGCCTCAAAGGCATCCTTCTCCATCTCTTTGGCCAGCTGCAGGCTTTGGAGCTGCTCATTGAGGTCAGTGATCTCGTCCACCCGCTGATTGAGTGTGTGCTTGAGGAAGGCCACAATCTCCTTCTTGTTGTTGGCCAGCTGCTCAAACTCCTGGCGGAACAGCTTCTCCTGAACAGCCAGCTCATCCCACTTCCGCTGGTACCTGAGGTGGGGGTGGGGTAGAGATCCAGGGGAGTGGGCAAGCCAGACCTCCATGAAACTGGGCCTGTTCCACTGGAGCCTTCCATAGAGGGACATTCGAGGTTTCTTATGTGGGAATCCAGTCTCATCTCCACTGTGCCCCCGATCTGTACTCATGACCATAGCCAACACCGGTGCTTAGTGTGTCACATTCATTACATCACCAGATTGTAAGCTCCTCAGGCTGCTGTTTTCCTTACCCTTGTTTGCTGAGTGAACCCTGCTGAGCCTCATTAGTAGAGCCTTCTTGGACCTGAGCCACATTTGTGACCCTCTTTTTGGTGCCCTCCTGTAAGTGGGCCCTTATTCCAATGGTCAGTCAAGATCTGATGTCATATTTGTCTTCACTTGGCAGACCTCTGACCTCCTCCACCTTTCTATTCTTGAGGTCTGACAGAGGGGCTCAGTTAAAAAAAAAAAGCACCTAATAACTGTCTCCCAAAAGAATTTTCCCCAAATACATTCCATCTGGTGTCTCAGCTTGAGGGATACTTGTAAATTTTTAAGAGTATCATATAATTGATTTACTGGTTTCCAATGGAATAATTTGAGGAGTAATTTGGAAAGATGTTTTACCTCAGTATTTACTCAAGCAACATCTTTTGAAAGTCTACTGCATACAGGGCATTGGGTGGTACAGAGCTGAATGACCTGCTTTGTGGAGTGAGGAAGCAGCTTGGTGTAGGGAGGTCAGAAGGGCCAGGGCTCCTATCCTGGCACCTTCTGGGAGTGACTTCCCTCCCTGAGTCTCAGTCCCTCCACCTGTACAATGGGGATGTCAGGACCTCTCGGACTGTTTCAAGGATGCAGTGAGCACCAGCCCAGGACCCACCTGGAGCATATGAAGGACTCAGCGTTAGCTGTATCTGCAACATCATCTGGGGGAGAAAGTGCTGCCTAATGGTCACTAAAGGCGTTTGTCTTTTAAAGGTCACCCTAAGACTAGGCAGGTGCATCATTAACTGGGAGGAAACTAGTTTTAAAATAAGAAAACTGGGCAAGTGAGTATGTCTCAGAAGTTAGAGACCCCTCCACACTACC